TTTTCGTTTTCTCTCTCTCTCTCTCCCTTTATTAAGCTCTTCTCTTCCCTACTTTTCTAACCACCTCCATTTTCTTTACGTCGTCTTTCTCCTTAGTCCCCCCTGCAGCAGGGACTACGATAGACTACCTCTGGCTGCTCCTGCTGCTGCTGCTATCGTAAACAGGATTTTACACCTACCGCCTCTGTGGCCTCCACCGTTTTGTTTATCGGCCTCTAGGCTAGACTTATCAAGCCAGTGTAAAGCTATCCTTGTCGCGCTGGGCTGAGGTTCATGCAGTTCATCTTGTCCAGGTATTACGGCATTTATGGAAGGTTTTTGAGCTGTTCCCCTCAAATGTGAATGTTTTTCCTGGAATGTCATTTTAGGGACTTTTTTTTTATTTGTTTCGGTTGTAAGGTGGTTTGTTGTTGTAGCACGGGCTATGGTGAGCCCGGAGGTGTAAGGTGGTAATTGGTGGTTATATTGAGGATTATTGGCTTGCTTGCGGTGAGGGTTTATGCCGGGCTCAGGGGGAGTAGGACTCTCGAAATCCTCTTCAGGTATGCTCCTGGTACATGTGTTATTTTGTTTGGTGTTGGGAAGAGTGGTGGCTCGTCACTACTGCTTTTCAGCACTACCACTGTAATTACTACCACCGCTACCACTACCACCACCATCACCACCACCACCACCACCACCACCACCACCATCACCACCACCACCACCCACCACCACCACCACCACCACCACCACCACCAACACCATCACCACCACCACCATCACCACCATCACCACCATCACCATCATCACCACCATCACCATCATCACCACTACCATCACCACCACCATCAACTTAACCACCACCATCACCACCACCACCACCACCACCACCACCACCACCACCACCACCACCATCACCACCACCACCACCACCACCATCACCACCACCATCACCACCACCATCACCACCACCACCACCACCACCACCATCACCACCACCACCACCATCACCACCACCATCAACTCCACCACCACCATCACCACCACCACCACCACCACCACCACCACCACCACCACCACCACCACCACCACCACCACCATCACCACCACCATCACCACCACCACCACCATTACCACCACCATCACCACCACCACCACCACCATCACCACCACCACCACCATCACTACCACCACCACCATCACCACCACCATCACCACCACCACCACCACCATTACCACCACCATCACCACCACCACCACCATCACCACCACCACCACCACCACCATCACCACCACCACCACCATCACCACCACCATCACCACCACCATCACCACCACCACCATCACCATCACCACCACCATCACCAACAACCCTTCATCACTACATCTCACTGTTCCCATCACTCCTTCAAATTCTTTAGGCTATCTTGAGATGATTTCGGGGCTTAGCGTCTCCGCGGGCCCGGTCCTCAACCAGCCCTCCTTTTTGTTCCACATCCCCAGGAAGCAGCCCGTAGCAGCTGTCTAACTCCCAGGTACCTATTTACTGCTAGATAAACAAAGGCATCAGGGTGAATGAAACTGCTCATTTTCGCCTCCACCGGGGATATAACCGGGAACATTAGGACTACGAATCCCCAGCGCTGTCCACTCAGCCATCACCACCAGTTCTTCAAGATAGACAACTACATTTAACATCTTGACGCCCTAAGGACCTTGAGGTCGAAACCTCCTTAATAGACCAATGAAAACGCAGACAATTTCCTCCTACCACAAGAGGCCAGTAGAGCCATACCTTAATCCTAGCACAAGAGGCCAGTAGAGCCATACCTTAATCCTAGCACAAGAGGCCAGTAGAGCCATACCTTAATCCTAGCACAAGAGGCCAGTAGAGCCATACCTTAATCCTACCACAAGAGGCCAATAGAGCCATACCTTAATCCTAGCACAAGAGGCCAGTAGAGCCATACCTTAATCCTAGCACAAGAGGCCAGTAGAGCCATACCTTAATCCTAGCACAAGAGGCCAGTAGAGCCATACCTTAATCCTACCACAAGAGGCCAGTAGAGCCATACCTTAATCCTAGCACAAGAGGCCAGTAGAGCCATACCTTAATCCTAGCACAAGAGGAGCCACACTACAACATGCTATCCAAACACCCTTCAGAGAAAATACATCCTTTACCAAATGCCAGCCCCAATAGATTCCTCTATCAGGGACAGAACTCCAATTATAGGCCAGTAAAGCCTCCTCTTTCTCGGAGGTGTTGGCCGGGGCCTTCAAGGCGGCACGGGGCAATAAGCGGAGACTTGCGCTAAAGCTTCCCTCACCGCAAGTCAGTATATCTCTACCGGAGCGGTTGTGCGCTCTGGCGGTAAAGTGATAGCGGTGATTGGCTACCGGATGCCACCACTCAGTGTAGTAGCACCTGGTATGCGCGTAACAATATGTTCCAGACATACTTACTTCTTACAACAAGACCCCCCCCCCTTTCCACAGCTTCAAGAATCGACTTGAGAATGGTCCAGGACGGACCGAAACGTCGTCGTCCCTTCACCTTCTAGTGTGTGGTCTGGTCAACACAGCTTCCTATTTATGCTTGCTTTTTTCCGCATTCTTAAGAGCTACTTCGCACGCTCTTGCTTGTTCTCGTTCTCTGTCTTATCCCTTCTTCCCTTTCCCATTCTCTTCCCCTTCTCCCTTCCTTGTCCCTCCCTCTCTCTCCATCTCTATAATGGTAAACCTGGCCACAACAAGAGGTCTTCAGGGGATCTTGTTCCCACACAGTAAACTCTCAAGGAGCCAAGTCTGACCCCTCCTCCTCCTTCGTTACCTTTGACCTGAGAACCAGGAGATATTGACCAAGGGAACGTGTCGAGTGCAAACGTTGAAAGCTGCAAAAATGTTGCAGTCAGACCTGTAAAATTTGCAAACGTTTCATTAAGATTAAGCTGAGGCTTCCTAACGTTCCAGATAGACCTCTTTGAGGTTTGCAAACGTTCCAGTTAGACCTCTTCGACGTTTCCAAACGTTCCAGTTAGACCTGTTCGACGTTTCCAAACGTTCCAGTTAGACCTCTTTGAGGTTTCCAACCCTTCCAGTTAGACCTCTTCGACGTTTCCAAACGTTCCAGTTAGACCTCTTCGACGTTTCCAAACGTTCCAGTTAGACCTCTTCGACGTTTCCAAACGTTCCAGTTAGACCTCTTCGAGGTTTCCAGACCATCCAGTTAGACCTCTTCGAGGTTTCCAAACGTTCTAGTTAGACCTCTTCGACGTTCCAGTTAGACCTCTTCGACGTTTCCCAAACGTTCCAGTTAGACCTCTTCGAGGTTTCCAAACGTTCTAGTTAGACCTCTTCGACGTTCCAGTTAGACCTCTTCGACGTTTCCAAACGTTCCACTTAGACCTCTTTGAGGTTTCCAACCCTTCCAGTTAGACCTCTTCGAGGTTTCCAGATCACCCAGTTAGACCTCTTCGAGGTTTCCAGACCATCCAGTTAGACCTCTTCGAGGTTTCCAGACCATCCAGTTAGACCTCTTCGAGGTTTCCAAACGTTCCAGTTAGACCTCTTCGACGTTCCAGTTAGACCTCTTCGACGTTCCAGTTAGACCTCTTCGACGTTCCAGTTAGACCTCTTCGACGTTCCAGTTAGACCTCTTCGACGTTCCAGTTAGACCTCTTCGACGTTCCAGTTAGACCTCTTCGACGTTCCAGTTAGACCTCTTCGACGTTCCAGTTAGACCTCTTCGACGTTCCAGTTAGACCTCTTCGACGTTCCAGTTAGACCTCTTCGACGTTCCAGTTAGACCTCTTCGACGTTCCAGTTAGACCTCTTCGACGTTCCAGTTAGACCTCTTCGACGTTCCAGTTAGACCTCTTCGACGTTCCAGTTAGACCTCTTCGACGTTCCAGTTAGACCTCTTCGACGTTCCAGTTAGACCTCTTCGACGTTCCAGTTAGACCTCTTCGACGTTCCAGTTAGACCTCTTCGACGTTCCAGTTAGACCTCTTCGACGTTCCAGTTAGACCTCTTCGACGTTCCAGTTAGACCTCTTCGACGTTCCAGTTAGACCTCTTCGACGTTCCAGTTAGACCTCTTCGACGTTTCCAAACCTTCCAGTTAAGACCTTTCCGAGCGTTCCAGCGCTATCAGAAGTGAGGCCCAATTTCTAACCGGAACCATTAGCTTTACAAATGGTCCAGCCACACCAGCTTGTGTTGTGCAAGCTGCAGCCAGATCCCGCCTGCAGGGTGTGGAGACCCTGCTACTGGACAACGTTTGTGTGGGAGGGAAGAGCACTCCCGTGGTAGTCATGACTCGCCCATGCATCACCCGTGCTAATGTGAGAGAGAGAGAGAGAGAGAGAGAGAGAGAGAGAGAGAGAGAGAGAGAGAGAGAGAGAGAGAGAGAGAGAGAGAGAGAGAGAGAGAGAGAGAGAGAGAGAGTTATAAATCACTATGAAATATGGGGGATGAGCTGGAAGAGGAAAGCAATGACTTTTGTTCGAGCCACAACGCTGTAAATGCTTCACCCACGTACTACAAATAATCGCCAACAGATTCTAAACACCTAACCAGTGCCTAAATATGCACAGTATGCTAATGTATAACAATATTAATTTATATTTGAGAAAATTCCTGATTTGAATGAACAGCTTGTTAAACTTTATGAATGCGTCCTTGGGGTCGACCACTGGATGGAATGGCCTTAGTCTGAGGACGGGTTGGAAAAAATATATATACAGGGAGTGTGTGGTAAAGCTACAGATGTAGGATACAGTGTTGGGGAAGGGGTTACAGATGTAATACAGGTATAAATGACGACAGAATACAGGTGTGTGGTGGCCATAACAGTCGTGGTTACGTTGCAGGGGTGGTTGTGTTACAGGTGTGTGGTGGTCATAACAGTCGTGGTTGTGGTGCAGGGGTAGTTGTGTTGCAGGTGTGTGTTGGTCATAGCAGTCGTGGTTGTGTTGCAGGTGTGTGGAGATCATAACAGGTGTGGTTGTGTTGCAGGTGTGGTGGCAGGTGTGCAACATGCAGGAAGAGGCTCCGCACCGTCTTCACCACAACTGGCAGCGTCACGGTCAGCCGACTCTACTCCTTCCAAGTTTGTGAGTATTGTCCCCTTGTGTTTTTCTACGGGCTCACCATAGCCCGTGCTACTTGCAACTTTGTTCCAGGTAGCAAATCTTTAACAACAACACTCCTTGTGTTTGTGAGTATTGTCCCCTTGTGAGTATTGTCCCCTTGTGTTTGTGAGTATTGTCCCCTTGTGAGTATTGTCCCCTTGTGTTTGTGAGTATTGTCCCCTTGTGAGTATTGTCCCCTTGTGAGTATTGTCCCCTTGTGAGTATTGTCCCCTTGTGTTTGTGAGTATTGTCCCCTTGTGTTTGTGAGTATTGTCCCCTTGTGTTTGTGAGTATTGTCCCCTTGTGTTTGTGAGTATTGTCCCCTTGTGTTTGTGAGTATTGTCCCCTTGTGTTTGTGAGTATTGTCCCCTTGTGTTTGTGAGTATTGTCCCCTTGTGAGTATTGTCCCCTTGTGAGTATTGTCCCCTTGTGAGTATTATCCCCTTGTGTTTGTGAGTATTTTATGAGTATCCCTTTTGAATATTTTCCTGTTTTCAGAGCAATAGTCACCATATCTTTCAAATACTAAAAACCCCCTTTCCCACACCCGCTGACGAAACCTCTATATCTTTCCTCAGTCCTAACGGTCTTGTTAACAGTTATTAAACAGTTTACGAGCTTGGCTTCAGAGCTCATAAATTGGTTAATGACGGCTGAGTGGACAGCGCTCGGTATTCGTAGTCCTAAGGGTTCCGGGTTCGATCCTCGGCGGAGACGGAAACAAATGGGCAGAGTTTATTTCATCCCTGATGCACCTGTTCACCTAGGAGTAAATTGGTGCCTGGGACTTAGATAGCTGGTACAGGCTGCTTCCTGGGGGGGGGGGGGGTAACAAAAAGGAGGCCTGGTCGAGGACCGGGCCGCGGGGACGCTAAGCCCCGAAATCATCTCAAGATAACCTCAAGATTTCAAGATGTTGTCCAGGTTACCTTACCTTGAGGTTACCTTGAGGTGCTTCCGGGGCTTAGCGTCCCCGCGGCCCGGTCGTCGACCAGGCCTCCTGGTTGCCGGACTGATCAACCAGGCTGTTGGACGCGGCTGCTCGCAGCCTGACGTACGAGTCAGGTACAGACATCTAAGATACAGCCGAGGTGAAGACATGACTCTAATCTTCCCAAAATAAAATATGTGTAAAGAACGAATATAATTTTTTTTTTACTCCAATTGAACAACTGTGGTTGGCTTGAAGGCTTGCAGCTATACTGCGGCTCACCTGACACAACAGGCACCTGGAACACACGAAGCGGGAATAGCTAAGAATGTGCACACTCGAATTTGTGAACTTAGGGTGCAGGAAACACCTAAGAAATCATCAACGCAAGGTAAAGACTCCTCACTTTGAGGCTAATCTTCCACAAGCACTATAATATCTTTAAAAAGAAAACGACGAATTCTTACAAGAAAAGGACGAATTCTTAAAAGAAAACGACGAATTCTTAAAAGAAAAGGACGAATTCTTAAAAGAAAAGGACGAATTCTTAAAAGAAAACGACGAATTCTTAAAAAAAACGACGAATTCTTAAAAGAAAACGACGAATTCTTAAAAGAAAACGACGAATTCTTAAAAGAAAACGACGAATTCTTAAAAGAAAACGACGAATTCCTGTATCAAGCTGCAAGCACAAAGAGCCTAAACAAATCCGGTTATCAGGCACATTTATTGACTGGAATTAACGCAAGACATACGTAAGACTAATGAACAAATCCACAAGGGCCGTGACAAGGATTCGAACCTGCGTCCGGGAGCATCCCAGACACTGCCTTAATCGACTGATTGATACATTAAAAGACTAATCGATACATTAGGAGTAAAATACAATAGAATTTTGTTTTTGTTTTTAAGAGGCAGACAGGCTTATTCCCTGTCGCTTTTCGAGCTTAGATTGTCTCCCGAGTCGGTATCACTAACTTGTGTCTATCTGTTTTAAGTTAGTGCCACTAACTGTTCTAATGTGCAGCTGATAGATAGATCAAGCACCAGCTGGGTGTAATCTACACAGGGACACACCCAGGTGGCTGTACCTTTTAACCTCTCAAACCAAATCTTAAAAAGTATATACATATTATAAAATGTATATACTTTTAACTTTTGTTATTATTTTATATCTCTCATACACACACGCACGCGCGCGCGCACACACACACACACACACACACACACACACACACACACACACACACACACACACACACACACACACGCACGCACGCACGCACGCTTCCCTAGGTAGTTATATTATGCTAAAAGGTCAGTAAATACCTGTAAGTTTCACTTTGCGTGAGGTTGTAACCGCATAGCTGGCTAAATATACACTGTCACCCCCAGGACACATACACTGTCACCCCCAGGACACATACACTGTCACCCCCAGGACACATACATTGTCACCCCCAGGACACATACACTGTCACCCCCAGGACACATACACTGTCACCCCCAGGACACATACACTGTCACCCCCAGGACACATACACTGTCACCCCCAGGATACATACACTGTCACCCCCAGGACACATACACTGTCACCCCCAGGACACATACACTGTCACCCCCAGGACACATACACTGTCACCCCCAGGACACACATACACGGCATACACTGTCACCCAGGACACATACACTGTCACCCCCAGGACACACATACACGGCATACACTGTCACCCAGGACACATACACTGTCACCCAGGACACATACACTGTCACCCCCAGGACACACATACACGGCATACACTGTCACCCATGACACATACACTGTCACCCAGGACACATACACTGTCACCCAGGACACATACACTGTCACCCAGGACACATACACTGTCACCCAGGACACATACACTGTCACCCAGGACACATACACTGTCACCCAGGACACATACACTGTCACCCAGGACACATACACTGTCACCCAGGACACATACAGGACGAAACGTTGCTTCCGACACTTACTTGTGTCGGAAATTCACACCTTTCACTGGAGGAGCTTTCTGAGCTGAACCTTATACTGTCGACTGGTGTGTGTGTGTGTGTGTGTGTGTGTGTGTGTGTGTGTGTGTGTGTGTGTGTGTGTGTGTTCACCTAGTTGTGTTTGCGGGGGTTGAGCTTTGCTCTTTCGGCCCGCCTCTCAACTGTCAATCAACTGTTTACTAACTACTTTTTTTCCACACCACACACACACACCCCAGGAAGCAGCCCGTGACAGCTGACAGAGGTACCTATTTACTGCTAGGTAACAGGGGCATTCAGGGTGAAAGAAACTTTGCCCATTTGTTTCTGCCTCGTGCGGGAATCGGATCCGCGCCACAGAATTACGAGTCCTGCGCGCTATTCACCAGGCTACCAGGCCCCTCATGTGTGTGTGTGTGTGTGTGTGTGTGTGTGTGTGTGTGTGTGTGTGTGTGTGTGTGTGTGTGTGTGTGTACTCACCTACTCACCTAGTTGTGTTTGCGGGGGTTGAGCTCTGGCTCTTTGGTCCCGCCTCTCAACCGTCAATCAACAGGTGTACAGATTCCTGAGCCTATCGGGCTCTGTCATATCTACACTTGAAACTGTGTATGGAGTGAGCCTCCACCACATCACCCCCTAATGCATTCCATTTGTCAACCACTCTGACACTAAAAAAGTTCTTTCTAATATCTCTGTGGCTCATTTGGGCACTCAGTTTCCACCTGTGTCCCCTTGTGCGTGTTCCCCTTGTGTTAAATAGACTGTCTTTATCTACCCTTTCAATCCCCTTCAGAATCTTGAATGTGGTGATCATGTCCCCCCTAACTCTTCTGTCTTCCAGCGAAGTGAGGTTTAATTCCCGTAGTCTCTCCTCGTAGCTCATACCTCTCAGCTCGGGTACTAGTCTGGTGGCAAACCTTTGAACCTTTTCCAGTTTAGTCTTATCCTTGACTAGATATGGACTCCATGCTGGGGCTGCATACTCCAGGATTGGCCTGACATATGTGGTATACAAAGTTCTGAATGATTCTTTACACAAGTTTCTGAATGCCGTTCGTATGTTGGCCAGCCTGGCATATGCCGCTGATGTTATCCGCTTGATATGTGCTGCAGGAGACAGGTCTGGCGTGATATCAACCCCCAAGTCTTTTTCCTTCTCTGACTCCTGAAGAATTTCCTCTCCCAGATGATACCTTGTATCTGGCCTCCTGCTCCCTACACCTATCTTCATTACATTACATTTGGTTGGGTTAAACTCTAACAACCATTTGTTCGACCATTCCTTCAGCTTGTCTAGGTCTTCTTGAAGCCTCAAACAGTCCTCTTCTGTTTTAATCCTTCTCATAATTTTAGCATCGTCCGCAAACATTGAGAGAAATGAATCGATACCCTCCGGGAGATCATTTACATATATCAGAAACAAGATAGGACCGAGTACAGAGCCCTGTGGGACTCCACTGGTGACTTCACGCCAATCGGAGGTCTCACCCCTCACCGTAACTCTCTGCTTCCTATCGCTTAGATACTCCCTTATCCACTGGAGCACCTTACCAGCTACACCTGCCTGTCTCTCCAGCTTATGTACCAGCCTCTTATGCGGTACTGTGTCAAAGGCTTTCCGACAATCCAAGAAAATGCAGTCCGCCCAGCCCTCTCTTTCTTGCTTAATCTGTGTCACCTGATCGTAGAATTCTATCAAGCCTGTAAGGCAAGATTTACCCTCCCTGAATCCATGTTGGCGATTTGTCACGAATTCCCTTCTCTCCAGATGTGTTACCAGGTTTTTTCTCACGATCTTCTCCATCACCTTGCATGGTATACAAGTCAAGGACACTGGCCTGTGTGTGTGTGTGTGTGTGTGTGTGTGTGTGTGTGTGTGTGTGTGTGTGTGTGTGTGTGTGTGTGTGTGTGTGTGTGTGTGTGTGTGTGTGTTCGCAATTACGCTGAAAAAAAGTTCGAACAGCCTTGCTCCCCAAGGTTCTTCGAACATTAGAAGACCCAAGACTTTTCAACACATTCGCTCTACACATAAGATGCT